GGCACACACACACACACACACACACACACACACACACACACACACACACACACACACACACACACACACACACACACACATATATATGTGTATCTATACCCAGTGTGCTGTATATATACATATATATATATATATATATATATATATATATATATATATATATATATATATATATACACCCAGTGTGCTGTCCCTTTAAATGACGGCCACACTAGTCTTTCCTGTCATGGGATCCCCAAACGTCCTCGTTGACTACAGGTCAGCTACAACTTAGGATTGGTCACAGAACATACAGTATCCCACGGAGAAAACCACTGTCTCAGTCCAGTGTTCACAACGTTCATGATAAAGTTCTTTGCTTATTTCTTCCACTAACGTTCTTTTCAAATTTCTTCTATTATAATCCTTGTGAATTGTGTTTCACACTGGCTCCTTGGCTTACACTTTATCCAACAAGGTATAATTAACTTTTAAAGAGACCTCCATTTCTTTGGTGTGTAGGAGTGGGTCATTTATATCCACTGATCAAATTAATGCTTATCTGATTTATCTATAAAGAAATAATGAGACATCATTGTTCCTTATTTAGAAAATAAATTGTTTTTAACTTGATATGATAATCACTTTTTAGGATTTTAAATAATGAGTTTACCAGTAATTATCTTATAGTTTTTGTTTTGGCAATATCTTCCTGGTCTGCCTAGGGAAGAAATATTGACACAATTCTATGCTGGCTTGGGATTTTCATCTTGGATCCCATTACACCTTGGGAAGCATTCCGTTCTGTCCTGGGATCCCTAGACAGAACAGACTAGTGTGACCTTTAAAAGTGGACAAAAGGAGAGAGACCATAAGATTCCTCTCACCTTAAATAAGGCTCTATGGAGTGTCACCATGAAGGTCGTCTGAGTCATTTCTAAAGACCTTGGTGACACCCCAAACTATCACCACATTAATTGTGGCCTCTGCTGCTACTATGCAAAAAGCCTCTGCAATAAAAGCTTGCTCTTTGCCAATGCAAGGAAATCATAAGCCTGAAAAAAGGAATTCCACAGGTAGCTTGACTAACTGATTTTCAATTATTAGTCAAGTCAACTGCTTAGGTAATTAGTAGCGTATTCTTTTGAAAAAATTCAGTGTGCTGTGGGAAAGAAGTGGAAACTCTTCATATGAAAACAGACCCAATGGTTTAGATTTGAAAATACTAAAATGTACTGAAATACAATATGTACAATATATTTTCCAGTTCATATGATGTTCCAAGTATTAATTTCCCTAAGGTAACAAACAAGATCAGTAACATTAGTCTTTTTTTATTACAGAATTTGGTACTTTTTGCCTTCAACAAACTCCCTGGGGATATGCTTGCTGCCCCTTATACAGAGAAGTGGGTGTCTGTGCAATAATAGTATATGTAATTCTAATATCTTTTGTTCACATTGACACGTTTCCTTTTCACATTTCAAAAACATTTTTTGGTGTTATTTCTGGATGTCTATTTCAAAGAAAAAAAAGAGCCAAGAATAAGGGTCAGGGAACAACACATTGTTTGCAATGAGGAAAGAGGACCTCTGACTTATGCACGATGAATACTCAAAGAGCAAACTGAAAATCTCCAAGTAAAACTATGGGCCATATAACGTGAAATAACGTGCATCTTCTTTGTGAAGAAAGGTTTACTTTCATTTATGCATTTTTTCACATACTAATATCTAAAGCAGTACATAAGAAATGATTTTTTTCAAGGAAATATCCATTTATTGTACATTTATGTTCACTAGCATCGCCCCAAAGATCTAAATTATCAAAATATAATTTATTAAAAATAAATCTGCTAAATATGCTTCAAGCCTACTGTACAAAATGAATTATCAGAAAATATTCACAATACGTATAACTATCGAATGCAGGCTATTTTGCTAATGGCTTCTTATAAAATTGAGGCACACAGAATGCGGAGGCAAGCAGGCCCAAATAAAATTATTGGTAAAATTAATATAATTTTTTTTGTTTCTTAAAGATGGCTTAACTCTGACATATATGTTTCAACAAAGGATGTATCTATAAATATGGCTAGTAATGTATCTGGTAGTGGTAATGAGGATGTTATATGTAATTGCAATCATGATACCAACTCAGTGAAAATTAAATAAGGGTAAGAATTTCAGGAGTAAGCTGAACAGGTTTGTGAGCATGTTTGTTGCTGGATGGAGTAGCCTGTTGTGGTCACTGATTGGCTAGGATTGGTTAGCGGGCAAATCTGCTTTTGTAACACAACGCCTGGCTGAGCTAGCAAGTTTCTCCTGTAGACTTACCCATAAATATTAGGTGCTACATGAGTGCCAAAACCTATTTCATACCATCAGATATAATAGACAATTACCATTTCAGTGACAAAAAATGGATATCCAAAGAAGTGGATCTATAAACCTCAACTCTATTACATCTCTGGCTTTAAGGCAAACACTGAACTCATTTTTAGAAAATAATATCACAAGCACATGTGCACACACATACACACACATAATATATGACGTACATATCTGTGCAAATCACAAGATAATGATTGTGATTACAACCCTATAAATAGGGAAAGAAAGGCCTTTTTGAACATATAAATTTAAACATTATCAAAACATGAATAAGCTTTTAAACAACAAGGAATGGAAGGGGAACAACAGAAGAAACTACAAGAAGCAAGTACATTTCTATAAATATAGTACATACATATAGTAAAGAAATGTACAAATTATTTAAAGGAAATTTCAATTAGAGATATGAATCTTCACATAACTATAAAAAAACCATAGGTGTCTATGTAACTGAAGTTCAATGTTTTCCATATAAGTGAAGAATGGTAGAAAACTTACAGCTCAAAAAGACGAAGAAGAAGAAGATGAAGAAGAAGAGAGAGAGATGAAAAGGAATAAAAAGAATAATAATACAACCTCTAGCCTCAGTCTGAAGCCCAGATACTGAAAGTGTGTTTGATTGGTGTCATTATCTTTTAGGTTGGTAGAAAGTTAATGGCACTTTAAACATAAATCAATATATTTTTTTATTTTTTTTTAGTGGGCATGCTTGTGTGTATGTATGGTTTGTGTGTGTGTGTGTGTGTGTGTGTGTGTGTGTGTGTGTGTGTGTGTGTGTGTGTGTGTGTGTGTGTGTGTGTGTGTGTGTGTGTGTGTGTGTGTGTGTGTGTGTGTGTGTGTGTGTGTGTGTGTGTGTGTGTGTGTGTGTGTGTGTGTGTGTGTGTGTGTGTGTGTCTTTAGATTGACTTTTATTAATCTAGTACCTCTGGGACCAAGAGTTAGCCATATAAGTGAAAATGCAAAATCATAGAAAGATTATTTCAAAAAAGTTCTTAATCAATCCTTCAACTACTAAATCATACCTTTGAAATACAATATCAGTACAAATGGGGTTATAAAGGAACAAAAACATTAAATAAAAGGCAAGTAAAATGAGCTATGGGAGTTGCTGTACATCTATATGCAAAATAATTCAAGTAATGTCATGTATACTCACCAAAACAAATATTCATTTACCAGAAATTATGTATTCTATCCCTGTATTGTGCACATGAAAGTACTGTAATCGCAAATCTGTTAATCAGAATTAGGCATCGACAATACCCCAACGGATTTACGGTGTGGACATTAGAAGGGCTTTCAAAAGTGATAACCAGAAGTGAACAATCCTTGATGATTTGCTTACTCTTTGGTGTCATATGATCAATTTAATCAGCATATCTGGTCAACAGTTTTGACAACATATAAACCAAAACATTGCACACAAAAATTCATGACTACCATCCTCAAAACCTATAAAACTGGCAAGTATTGTTGGTAAGAAGTACATATTCCAGTGACAATTGGAATAATTCTCCTATCCATGGTGAAAGGCCTGAAGATGCAGAGAGGTTTTGGTCATGTGAACTATCACAGTATGCAAACTGGCCTTTGAGTCTTCACTGGCATTGACAGAGCTCCTCAATTAGTAAAGCAAGGAGGCATGTTTGGTACGGATCCAAGGAATCTGCTCCATCAGAAATACTTTCCATATGCAGCACTGCCAAGTGGTACAAGCTTCTTTTCTTTAACCTGTATGATCTGGCTATCACCAAACATGTATGCTGTGCACAATGCAGAATTTAAGGGATGCTTGTCTGGAATTACAGCCGTGGGGATGTCTGCCCGGAATTTTTATATTGATATTAATATCTTCATTGCCTTAACATAAACAACTAATAAAGAAAATCCATTAAATTGAGCCACTTATTTATTTGAACAAAGGAGTTAACCTTTTACACAGATGATACAATGATCAAAAGATTATAATGGAAATTTCATTATTCTGATCACTAGTACTCTACAAATATAACTGTTTTGTCATTTCAGTCAAATATCCTGTAAAATAATATATAAAAGGAATAAGTTTTATGAAGCCTCAGGGGTAGTTACCCCATTTACCCCCCACTTCTTCATAATTCTGTATTCACACACACACACACACACACACACACACACACACACACACACACACACACACACACACACACACACACACACACACACACACACACACACACACACAGTAGATCCTCTTATAATATGGTAATACAGACTGGCATCCTCCATTTCTGCTCTACATGTTCAAAGTGTTTCCATTATAAAGGGTGAACTCTGAAAGGGCACTTCTGAGAAGCTTCTCATTATACCTCGAGAGGTGGCATGCATTTCTGACATGCTATTCCATGTTTACAGTTTACTATGAGTCAGCTTCATCCTGCTCCCAGTGTACAAAGATTGTCCCTTTACGTAGACCAAGATGCTGGGAATGTATTAATATTATTAACATTATCCTTTTTTGCGTACTTCTCTCTACCTGGTTGAAAGATTTAATCATCATCATGGTCAGTTGATGTTTGCGTCAAAATCTTTTATTTTAAATAGATATTTTCTGTTAAAACCCATGATGACAGCTTATGATTTTTTTGATGCCATAACGAACGATGTACCTACACCATGCATAATCAGCTGCTCAAATGAAAATGAGATGTACAGTAGACATGTTTTCACTGCTGTCTAATGAAACTGGTTGTGGAATATACAATCTTTTAATAAAAGAGACTAGAAAGAGAGATTAACCTTTCTTTAGAAAACTGTACTTCACAAAGAGGTACAAACAAGTGACAAAGACATTTGTCACCTGGCATATGAGCTCTGTGCTTCACACAAAGAATACATGCTGCCTATTGTGAACAAGTTAGTAGCTATTTTAAATGTAAATTTGATGTTACTTGTACGGAAGTCAGTCAACTTCTTTTGATCAAAGTACTTTTATCAAGATTTAATTGGTCATACAACTCAAAGCTCAGAGAAAAGGAAATCCAATTTTTGTGCCATTCAACATATGGCAGTCACAGGAAGTAGATTTGTGCTAATAGGCACTGTGACTGCTTGAATGGTATAATATGGCATAAGATTTGACTTTGTAATATGTTATCCATCAGCCTGTGTCAGGATATGACCTTACCACAATACAGATTAATGTGTTACACTATAGGTTCTGCACTGGTCCTATACATGTTACTTAAGCGTATATCATAGAAGGATCTACTGTATACATATATACAAGCAATCATATACATGCATATATCTTTATATGTATTCAGATATATGTATACGCTGGCTCGGTTCAAGGTATAAGTGAACTACATGGCACCTTACAGCCTTCATGGCTACCAGGGTATTCCCGAGAGTGCTTAACATTTTTTCAGTAATATTTGTCTGTGGTAAGCATACAAAAATGTCATTTTATGACAACTGACTCTGAGATATATAACTATCTGCCCCAACTGTTTCTAAATAGGGTCTTGACAGACAGTTTTACATTGCGGCTGCACATTCAAATACAATAGTCAAAAGTCTTAGCTGTGTCTAATGGATACGCTCCAGGTCGTATTCTGCTTATAGTCCCATGCAGGGATAAGCTGGCCCTTTTCATTTCTTTTTCTAAAGATGAGCAAACATTTTAAAAGTAATAAAGCTGTATCTTTACAAAAATTCCTTTCTAAAAGCCTACATATTCTATTTTGGAAATGACTAGTATAGACTGTCAAAGGTACATCTAAAATTTGGGGTGATCTTGCCATCATCTAACATGAACAGCGACCCTCTGTCTCTTCCACTTCATCATCCTCCTGCTGCTGCAATGTTCTGGCACGGCCCCTTCTGCCTGGAAGACGACTTGAATCAACTGCTAATTCCATTCTCTTCATCACAGCATCAAGAAGGTGGATTACAGCAGTTTCTACATTTTGGCCAGAAGCAGCTGAGGTTTCAATGTACTGGAGGCTGTAAAAGTAAAATAAAGGTCTGACAAACAACACAGTATAACATTACATTACATAATACAACTATTCCTATAAGAAATAACTAAAGAAAAATAATCTGTGTTTCCCATCCTCCCACCCAGACTTTATGAATCTTAAAAATTAAGAAACTATAAGAATTTGGTAGAATAAAAAAATAAATAATAATGCAAGACAGATGTATCAGTCTTAAGTGCTAGAGAAATGTTTAGTAAGTGGAAGTGGATGGGGGCAAGAGTGGCTGCTCAAGGAGATGCTGAGCTGAGAGGATGGGGAAGAAATCCATCACCCTCCCTCATCCACTCCCTTTGTGAAAAAAGATATCCAATGTGGTGTGTTTGCTGCTTCTTATCCTTATTCTCCTTGTATAATTCTTCATGGCAGGGAAAACATTCTCTCACATCACACAGAACTTTCAAACTTATTTTCCCGTTATAAGGTGCATACACATTGCAGAAGAGCTCGACAAGCTGCTTTCCAGTCAGTTCTTTATGCTCATTATCAATTTCTTTCCCATTAAGTGCTTTCATAATTTGTTGCAGCATTGCAGTGCTTCTGGTGTTTAATACATGTACCCTGCATTTTCTCATCTTTTAAATTATAGTGCTACATGAATAACTGATGTAGAGTATACCAGTTGGGGAATCCAGACTAATTGTTGTCTTGTTTGGCATCAAGTGGGATGCTTTTGCACTCTCTTTCTTCTTGTTGTCTTCATCGATACAAGACATTCTTTTGGGAACCAGTTTTAATGTCAATGTCATAAGAGCAAAAATGTACATAGTAGGTGGGCAATGCCTCCAGTTAAGTGCAGCAAAGGAGGGAGTAGGGAGGAGGGCAGCATGAGACATGTTCAGAATGCACATAAACTTAACTCAAAAACAATGTTACATCACTCATATTTAAAAAAAAGAGAAGAAGTTATAGGCGTCAAAAATAATCATATCACCATAAAACAAAGATTACAGTTATTGAAAACCAAATTTGAAAATAATGCTTTTCATCCCCGGCTATAGAAAACAGATGTAATTTTCAGTGATAAAGTAAAAGAAATTAACTATAAACAAGGAATAAAATTATGTGAATACAAAGAACAGATTCAATTCTTCCAAATTTGAAGAAGT